AGAAAACAGACAACCTTATATATGCGTGTGTGTAGATTTTCAGCGAATGTTTTTCGAGTGTTGCTATTAAGAAACATATCTATAGGCTAATGTTAAATATGCTATCTTCGACATATAACAAGAACTATGAACAAAAATCCGATAGAGATGTGTTATGAATAAAAGTCTGGGGGAAAAAAAAAGGTTATCAATGAAATGTCAGTTCAAAGGGTCCGCCTAAAGATAAGTGTAATAAATCCAACATTGAGAGTCTAAACACCAGTTGTGAATTCCTTGTAAACAGAACAATCTGACTGGCGTCCACAAGTCTGGACCAAAGTAATAAAATGCGAAATACAAAATATATAAATGTTAAAAGCGAAAGACCATAGCTTTAAAAGAAAGGCCAATACAGTGGTCAGTAAGAGTCTGGATTGTCATTTTTAATTTGAAACTCATCATGATGAAATCCAGAATGGAAAACACGAAACAGACTAAATTATCATGTTCAAGAAACAAGTTATAAATGAACAGACAGCATTTTGATTCACAAAAGACAATAAACCTATCTCTGCCAATTATACTGTTTACTCTGAATCGTAAAACAAAGGCAATTTGACGATTAGCCAGGATATAACAAGTCGTTGTTGTCTTGTCAAGAAAGTGTTAATCGTTCAGGTGACAATAATCTCGCTTACATTTTTCCTCTGTTACATTTTCCTCGTCAATTATCATCCTGACGTCATAGATTCTCAAGTAGGCATCTACATGGACTACACTACAATATACTCCTGTCTCAAAAAACAAATCTAGTATCGTTGACAAAACTAACCTGGCCGTTCGTCTCGAAAATGACCTCCAATCATTTGTGAATTGGGGCAGGTACTGGCTTCCACAGAGATCTATCCATGCCCCCCACCATTAGAATGTCTGACGCTCAACTTCTCGAGAGCCCCTCGTTGCGAGTCCACGGCCTCACATTGACTGCTGATCAGAGATAGAAAAAATACATTGAGTCAATAGCTTCGTCCACCGCAAGGAAAATTGGTTTCATTGCCGCGCCAGGAAATTTTTCTCGCCTGAGTCCATCCTTCAATATACAAATCAACAATTCGAACTTGCATGGAGTATTGCTTTCCATATATGGTCAGGTGCCTCTTATGTTTGTCTCAAGCTTCTTGATAAGATCCAGAGACGGATATGCAACGTAATTAGCCCTGATCTGGCATCTCGTCTGCAGTCGCTCTCTCAGAGACGTGCCGTTGCCTCCCTCTGTCTTTTTCACAAATACTTTCACGGTAACTGCTCCGATGAGCTGCTTTCGCTGGTTCCCAGACTTCATGAATTTAAGCGTCCTACGAAGGTGGTATCTCTCTCACACCCTTTCACTGTCGAAACTGTGAAAAGTAGCCGTCTCTTCTCCTCCAATAGCTTCATGTCTCACACTTCTCTTCTGTGGAACTCTCTCCACTCTTCCTTTTTCCCTGATAGCTATAATCTCCAACTATTCAAATATAATGTCAATCGACGACTCCAGTTGACTTGATCTATCCCCTATCCTTCTCTTCATTTATTCCTCTATCATTCCTATTTGCTCTAGCTCCAACGACATGCGTGTTACTGGCTTCCCGCCTTGCTTGCGATGAAACGCTTAAAAAAATTCCTACATCTAATTTCCCAGCTTCTTTGTTCCATCTATATTCTCTATTTCCATCCTCTCTCAAAATCTTTGAAATTTCATTTACGTATTACTTTCTTCAGTTTTCTCTTTCTGCAATAATCTTGTAAGTGTGCTTCTATAAATGGATGACAGAATAGGGTTACGGGAATATAACAAAATGTATTAAGAGCTACAAAGGACAGGGAATTGTAGAGAGCCATGATCAACAATGTCCTGAAGGAACTCGGCACATAGAAAAAGATTATTGATTTATTGTCTATGGTTTATCAACCATTTACAGATATTGTAAAGCCAGAAAGCAATTTTGGATAGTAACTTTTCGTTGGGGGTGGGAGAATGATAATAGCTTAGTCATACATGTTTATTAATTAACCCATAGCTGAGGGAAGAATAGGAAGATTCTTATCCTTACCAAAGTTATTTGTGCCACAGTGAATATAACGAAGCCAACTAGAATTGGAATTCGAATTTCCGATTACAATTGTGAGCCATTATACATTACACCATAAGCACATTGAATCTTACAGCACCTGCTATTAACAAGCGGTCACCTTTGTAGAAGAAGAAGAAGAAGAAGAAGAAGAAATGTATTTAACTCTCTAGCTGGAACACACTTCTTCTATGTCCCGTGCCGATTCTGGGCGCCGGCAATAAGAGTCCTCCACATTTTCTTGTCCCTTGTAGCTATAAGAAATGTTTGTCTTTTTATATCTCTCCCAATCGCTGTTCTTTCAAACATTTACACAAGCTCGTTAGCTAGATAATTACTACCTTTCTTCTGTTCTTCATACATTCAACATGTCCTGTGAGTGTTAAATAATCCAAGCCGTCTTTCCTCTTTATCTGCCAGACTAATTTCAATGTACTCTTTCTGATTGGATGTATAAGTGTATTTTTCCCATTTTTTCAAAAGATTCCTTGTTGCTCACATTTTTACTCCGTTCTCAGCATCCTTCAGTAGAACCCAATTTCCGTTGTCCCAACATTCTTCATCTTTAATGAGATTATATATAGAAGGACCGAAATTACGTAACACTTCAGTGTTAATTTCTCTGTTTCTAAGAAATTTTTTTTCTGATTCTCTACTTAACCTTTCCAAGGCAACTATCTCTATTCCAATGCACCTTCAGATTTCGGAGTCACATTTTCTGTCCTCTAATAAAATCGTCCTAGTTATTTAAATTTTTTGACTTGCTTGATTTTAGTTCGCAGTTTGAGTTGTTTTCTTTGCTAACAAAAACAACAACACATTCTGACTTCTTACAATTGACATTTAGTCCTTTCCTCTTAGTTTGCTTTTATATCTAATACTTGGTATGTCAATGAACTATATCTGGCAGAAAGGCATCTAAATGAGAGATTGGAAGGTTTGAGGAGCGTGGAACCACCTGTTAATTGCTACAGTTCCCAGATCAACCTTGTACCAGTGTGGCAGCAACTACTACGGTCATAACCATAGTCAAATAGTGAACCCCCAAAACAAAGCACTATTAAAAAATACATTTTTATAGTAAAACATTACCAGCAATACATTTTATATAAAACATTACAAGCAATACATTTTTATATTAAAGATAACAACAATGCATTTTATATATAAAAAATATTGACAACAATATATTTTATTATAGAATTACCCATAATTCATTTCAGAACAAAATGATCAACAATACGTTTTATTGTAGAATTAACAATAAGTCATTTTATAAACAACAATACATTTTATCTGTAGTTGACGGCATGCAATAGGGTTAAAATATATATTTAGTTGCAGCCATAACACTGTGTTCAAAATATTTAGATTTCAGCATTAAATAAGAGATAATTACGCCGCTAAAGAAAATCAACCAACCAACATATATTAACTTGTGTAGGATTACCTGTAAGTTACTTTCCGTGTCTGCTCTAAACACTGTGTTATTTGCGTATATTAATTTGTTATTAAGTGGCCGTCAATAATGATTCTTGGAAGGTCTTCTAATTCTCTCAGGATCGCGTCACTAAAGTTTGAATAAGTCCGGTGAGAAATGACATTCTTGAAATGAGGCCTAGATTTGAATCTCGATATTGAATATACGTTAAGGGAATTCTTATATTCTTGGTAAAATCGTCTTGGGATAGGTGGGCTATCCCAGCGTGTGGCAATTTTGGAAATTGTGTGTACGCCATATTAAGCCATGTAAGTCAAATTGCATAGACGAAATTGTTCATAATACGCCAAAGTCACGAGCAATTTGCGTATACTGACATTATTCAATAACTGATCACGTTGTGTTGTTAAACACACACAAAAACACTGCATCACTTTCTGCGAAAGAGGTTTACAGCAGATAAAATTAGAAGGAATGTAAAGCTAACCAAAATAATAAGAAATAGGGAAATTTCTTTAAAAACAAAGAAAAGATTATTGAAAGTTTTATGTTTTATTCGCAGCATGGCCCGGCGTTGCCCGTGCTTGATTCAAAAATCGTACGACTCATACAGCAATACCTATCACTTAACTTAAAATATCCGTCAAAAATTGCGGCTGTGCATTCGTTAAACACACACACACACACACACACACACACATCCTGCCTTATCTAAGAGATAAATCCTCTTTCATGATAGTTAATACTAGACGATTTCCTCACAGATGAAGAGGTTAATTGGTTGCTTCAGGTTAGCTACATATCAACCTCTATGTCGAAATCTAAATATTTTGTATGCAATTTTTTCTTTGAAAAAATTATTTTAGTGATAAACGTCTTACTATTTAACCCATATGTAGGGGAAGAGGTAGATTCATAACATTTTCAGGCGTATTTGCGCGTAAGTCAATCTAACGAGCCCAAATGGAATTGGAACACGGCTATCCCATTAATATTTCCGTGTCATTAATCATTCGATCCAACACTCTTGAAATTCCCAAGCGGTCACCTACCTAGGTTCTGACCAGGTTCGACGTTGCTTAATATCGATGATCCTACAGTAACCGGTTTTTCAAAGTAATGAGGCTGTAAGCCATCTGTAAAGATAATGTTCAGCCTCCACTGCCGTATAGGAGGGCCGATATTACGTAACAGTTCACTACCTGTTTCTTAATACTTTGCTTAGTTTATGAAAGGCATATTTTGCAATATCAATGCGGTTTCGTATGTCCGTGTTGCAAATGTCGTCTCCTGTTAAGATCCTTATATATTTTAATTGTTTTATTTGCCTGATTTCGGCGTCCCTATTTTTCTCTATTTAGCTGTTCCATTTTCTGTCAATCTGTCTTTCAATTGATGTTTAGTTTCTCCTTTAAATATTTTACGCGATATTCCGAGCCATTATTTATTCGACGAACCGCACTTTCAAGCTTACAACATCGGATATTCCCAAGCGGTCACCCATCTAAATATTCACCAGGCTCGACTATGCTTAACGTCGGCGATCGTACGGGAACCCGTGTTTCAACTGGATATGACCGAAAGGCCAGATGAATAGGAGACTGGAAGCGATAGCAATATTGTTCTACAGAATGATGCTGAGAAATCCATGGACAACGCGAATAATGGCTAAAGAAATCTTGAGTAAAATGTCAACAAAATGGACAAATAAAATCAGAAAAAGAGATCTGAAATTTCATGGACACATCATGATGAAGAAATGCTTGGAAAATTTGACACTCACAGAGAATATCAGAGGCAAAAAGTACAGCGGTGGCGACGAGCTAGTGTGAGTTAATAGTGGAAGGCGGGCGGAACCTTTGGCAAATGAATAATCACAGCCAAGTGTTAAATGGATAGAAGGTTGTGGAGAGCTATGATCGTCCATGTTCTAAAGGAACCCCGGATAAGGAAGACCTCATTTAAGGATCGAACTCACTATATTACTATTAGTTGAATTTAACGTTTCAAATCTGTTTTAGATTTCTTTCTTAAACTGTTCTTGCTTGATTCTTGTCTTGTTTTCTATTCTCCGTGTTTCTTTGTTCTTTCATCGTATTTACGTCTGTCATCTCTCCGCTTCTTTTCGGCACTTTCATATTTTTTTTCATGGTACTTTCTCTACCTTATTTTCAATGTGATCTTACAACTTGTTTATATTTCTCGTTTTTATTTTATGTCAACACATTCTCTTTGATAGAAAGAAGTAAAACCAAGTTTAAAGAACGCTATTAAATATCAAGGATTTCAAGACAGAACGACAGGTCAGTTCCATATATATATATATATATATATATATATATATATATATATATATATATATATGTTTTGTTTTTAATTTTTGCCTATACATTCCTGTAACTATTTTTTTATGAATTTGTTTTGATGTGTTTCCTGCTGTTTTTACAGTCGAAAAAAAAGATCACATGAGATTCACGTTGTATTTGACAGAATAAAAAGAATAAAAAGGAAGGGGAAAAAACAACACGACTAAACATTGATACACACAAAATACAATCGTGCTTTTTATAGAAACGGACAAAAGATCTTGGGAAAAAAATTGCAGTGTTTCATTTGCATTAACTTTCTACATTTTTCCATGATTATTATCATAATGCCAATCTGTATTATTCGCTAAATATACTACCTTATTTTATATGTAATCCAATATATATATATATATATATATATATATATATATATATATATATATATATATATATGAACTTCGAACTTGATTTGGAGTACCAATTTAAAGGTGAACAGTAAAAAACTAGAGCCCTCCAGTAAAAAAAAAGACAAGATAATTTCAAGAGGTATCGACAATAAGAATAAAGGATGGTTTCTATATATTATGATGTATGACTTGAATGAAACGCTCATTCCTTTATGAGAAAAGAAAAAAAAACTACATGAAAAATTGTGTGAATGTTCCTTGTTTACCGTATTTTTTGAGATTGCTTTATTAAACAAACATTATATTACTGATAACGATAAATCACACACACACACACACACACACACACACACACACACACACACATATATATATATATATATATATATATATATATATATATATATATATATACTACTGAATATACATAATATCAAGCATCTATAGCACGACTCGGAGTTTCATACGGTCTTGCAATCTTCAGGTGCTGAGTATATTCTGACCGTTATGAAGTTCCTGTTCTCGTGGTGATGATGTAAAATTGTGTATTAAAACGTGTTTATTTAATTATTGTTGCCTAAAACATTACAAATAATCATTTATAATTTATATCATTAAAATAATTAAGGTCAAAAGACGAAGGATTAAAAAAAAAAATATATATTTAAATTTGAAATTATGTAAACAATTTAAGTATCAATAGGGATAACTCTCTTTTTTTTGCATGAAATACCATAGACTTTACTGGATGAAGTTGCTAACCCCATGTTTAAGAGGCTTAGAAATCATTATTGTATGTACTGTTTTCGTATGTTAAATGATATGATATATTTTCTTAGTTTTTGTTAATCGTCATGCCAAATTTCGAAGCCGTTACATACTGTTCTTTAAATATGATAAGAAATGGTACAGATCATTTTCATTTTTCGCTGACATTTTAGGTAGAAGTACTACATCTTTGAATTTAGGAAAATTTTAGTGGATGCTCGTCAGAAAAAAAAAACTAAAATAAAAACACTCCCTTGATTGTCTATGGCACGTACAGAACGCGATTGTTCATAGCTTTTTATAAATTCGCGCCTATTTTTTCTTTCAGCAATTCATTCTAATTTCATAATATTTTTGTGGTTCTAACTCCTATGTAAATTTACAAAAATTTGTGAAGTTGGTTCCAGGATTATCTCCTCTGAAACCGTCATGAGAAATTTTTTTAAACTTCCTCACAAAATTACTCTTTAATTTATTTTATTAGGATGATCAGCAACTAAATCATTTTTTATCTTGACAATTCGGTGTGAATTAAAAGTGAGTTACGAAGTAAATTTTTCGTAGTAATTTCATATTCCTTCAAGACTTAGTCGATTTTCTTTATTATCTATGACTTCTTTTATAAGTGATAGAGTCTAATGGTCTCTTGTTGTCCTTTTCACTGCTTGGAACTTAGAATCTTTTCTATTTTAGAAACTTGCCACTGAAAGTGATAATGTAAAGTCTTACCTCTATTTTAATTCCGAGCAGAGGAAGGATAATCTGATTACTGCTTCTTTCCAAGTAGACTTTTGCGAAACTCAAAGCAATAAAATAGAATCTAAGTAATGAGTGTTTCATTAAAAGTTTAAACATTCAGCCAACAAGAGATAGTGTCTCGATAAAAACACCGTGGAGAAATATTCTACCATTCCACACAAAAACAATTCAGTCCTCTGCTCATATATTTGAAAAACAAACAGGTTATAATATATACACATTTCACATTGATTTTCTCGTTTCCTTGAATATAGTACGATTAGAAATCTTTTTATTTGACGCAAATTGTGAAAGAAACTCATTAATATTTAAATTATTTATATAAGTTAGAAAATACTGACTTGCGCAATACATGGCATTTTCTACAACAGCTATTTAAAAATATGTCTGTTGCTAGCAGAATATTTAAATAATTCGGTGAAGATGTAATCCTTTTAATTGATGAGATAAGGAGAAAATAAATTATCGTCACACATTGACATAATGGAGAAATTTGTTACAATTTTTGTATTCACTAGCTTCTAAATTTCGTAATAGTCACAAATACATTTATCATATCTGCAAGTTGGTTACTAAACGTTGGGAAACTTCTAGAAGTTTTTTTTTTCAAAATGTTGCGTTATTTGAAATTAGTTTTGAAAGAAAACTTTATAAAATCATGAAAAACCTTTCTAAATTACTTTCTTCTTTGACAACGTTTCTTAACATAAAAGTCTTATTCTGCCGGAAGCAATACTTCAATACAATCCCTATGTCACATCAGGGGAGAAAGAAAGAGAGAGAGAGAGGGAGAGAAAACAAGATGAACGGTTAGCGGAAATCCGTGAAGCTCTGAAATACAAAATTTAAGGCAGGGTCTAGGCAGAGAGAGAAAGTGTGAAAACGTGGGTTGTCAAAGAAAGAATTTGATTTTCCGGTAAGTCGACCAGCTAAAAAAAAGAAAAAATGTCGAGCGGAAGTTAGCAAATCGCTGCGCGCTCACAGGGAAGCGAAAGCTGACGTAAATTGTGACTTTTGTCCAAATATTAAAAAGTGTTTTAAAAGTTTTCCAAGATATTATGTAGTTGCATCATCCTGTGTTTTCGGATATTCTTCCCAGCTTATTTCCCCTTCATCTCAGTCGGATTAACTAATGCCATAGGGTACGGAAAAACTGGTTTCGTTCCATATATTTGATTCTTTTTAACGAACTATGTTATTGAGACTTTTTGATACTCTGTGTGGGTTTGGCTGATATAGTTCAGCCAATTGCAAGTCGAATTCCTTTCAATGTATACGGATTCAGAGGAAGTTTGAACTTTTGACTATCCGATCATCTCATAAAAGATCTCTTCATAGAGACTATTCAAAAGAAGGTCGAGTGCATTTAGTTTCAAGCATTTATTCCTTTTAAAAGGTACAATTTCTTATATTGGCGTGTCTGTATGTTACATTTGAAGTATTCGAGAACACGCACACATCTATTCATCTCTCTCTCTCTCTCTCTCTCTCTCTATATATATTCATATATATATATATATATATATATATATATATATATATATATTATTGAAAAGAACACATAAGAGTCAAGTAAAACGGAATATATAAAAACACTTTTATGTTTAAACGATTGCAGCAGAATAAAAAATGACTGTCTGCTTTTCATATACACTATCTTATACATACTTATATATATATATATATATATATATATATATATATATATATATATATATATACGTGTGTGTGTGTATGCACGTGTGTGTATGCACGTGTGTGTATGCACGTGTGTGTGTGATATATATTACATACATTAATAATACAGGCTCTTACACTTAGAAATATATGTAAATAAATCTGTCTAATATAGTAAATAATTCTTTTGAAAATTTGCAAATCTTACGATGTGGTTTCAAAATTGTATGGTTATTGATATATACATCCATCCATCAATGCATGCATATATATATATATATATATATATATATATATATATATATATATGTGTGTGTGTGTGTGTGTGTGTGTGTGTGTATGTGTGTGTATGTGTGTGTGTGTTTATATATATATATATATATGTATTATATGCATATATATATATATTATATGCATATATATATATATGTATATTATATGCATATATATATATGTACATATATATGTACATATATATATATATATATATATATATATATATATATATATATATGTTATATTTGTATGTATGCATGCATCTGTAGCCGTATTTATTGTTGATATGAATGTTTTTCCTTATTTCTATTCTCTTCCTTTTCTCATCATCGTCGTCGTCATCATCATCATTATTATTATTATTAATAATACTAATAATAATAATA